ATGGTATGGCATCACTGCGGATTAAAAGACCGCCTTTGCAGCATCCGCAAAATTACCAACAAAAGGCCCAGAAATATCAGCTGTGTCTGGGAGAAAGTCTCGTTGCGGCTCTATTGTGTTCTCGATTTCGTCATTGTCTTCAATTTGTGCTTCACCATCTGTCTCCTCCAAGGGTGAGAGCTTAGAAAGCAAACTCTGATATCGCATAAGGCGTTCGTCTGGGATGCCAAGTGCGTAGGTATTGGATATACCGCGAAGATTGGAGCTGGGCTGAGTGATCTCGAAAACGTCGACCATGTTACTAATTCGAGCCGAATGTATGTTAGTATCTCACCCTTGACTTGCCTTTGAAATTGCAGTACTTACTCAGATGTATGGGCTACTACCCTTTGCAAGGCTTCAAGCTCCCTTTGCATTTCCTGTGCATCACATTGGTTATTCAGGTTTGAGTCGCCAAAACTTCCATAGTGAGTCGCATCGGGGTCGTCAAAAAAAGGCCGAGACTCATCGTCCTATGGCAGTGCGGATCAGCCTACGAATCAAATCGTCGTTGTCGACTTACAACGACTACCGCAATTTAAATCCAAGCTAGGTGTCTGTTGATAATCTCTTACATCCTCATCGACGCTTTTGCGACGGCTGCCCAAACAAGAGCCGCAGTTTCCCATATTCTTTATGTAAAGCTCGGTAGCTCGGCAGCTCGGCAGGAGAGCTGTCAAGACACGCGTCCGTCGCGAGATAGTAGGGCTATTCGAAGCTTCGCAGAAGAGTTAAAACACTGGGGTCGAAACACGAGCTATCGCATTGGCGTGCATCACAACGAACGTTTGGCAAGTGGCTGCTGTCTTGAAATTTCCAGATGCAAATTGTCGGACGACGGCGAAAACAGCGGATAAATTACTAAGCTAATTACAGTGCATTTGCGGGGAAGGTGGTCTAAAACATAGTGATCCGATTGGGCATACCGATATAAAAGTGGGTCCAGGGGCAGTCAGCACCTTTGAGCAACAGCGACTGCTCCATAGTGGTTTCTCCTAGCTCCGTACGACGTTCGTAGTATCTTACGAACGGCTTTTCCCTTTTACGCGTACAACATATAGTAGAAAGATGCCATCACTGTCTTGTAGAGGAAGAAAAAGTGTGTCTTGGCTACAAATCCTATCGATCATGTTCGGTTCTCGGCGTAGCTCTTCTCGAGACCGGACTGACAATCGGGCTAGAAAAGTAGTAGTTGAAAAGACCACTGTCGTTATTTTCCTGTTCTTGAACGAAAAGGGTTTTGTGCCGGGCTCCTATGTAGCTCTCTTCGATGGACTGGTAAGAGTGTGACTTATCCAGGCTCTCGGAAGCATTTACAGCCATAAATCGCTCATGGGGTTGAGAAGCTGTACTCTGCTGCTCACACTCCGTATTAGTTCGCACTCTTCAATTGGTAAAAACCGCCGAATTTATCGGTGGCCTGGCCCGTTCACGAGCACTTCTGTTGCACATGTTGTGCTCCTTCTTTGAAGCCTCTATTTCAGACTTGCGGGCAGCAGTCTAGCATATGGTCGGAGAGCCAGGATTGTAAAATACCTTTATCATCTCGTCAGATGTATCATTCCCAAAATCGGGCATTGAAGTCATCTTGTGTAGAAGCGATGCCTCTTCAATACGTCCTTCCAAGCCTATGCTACCGGGACGTTAACAAAATTAGACATGAAGCCGGGCCCATACAGGCACCTACATACAATATGGTAGATACTTCATAGAATTTGAAAGCTGGCTTCTGTCTTAGAAGTTGTATTGCTGCATCGACGTCAAATTCAGACTTTCTGTCCAGGTTTATACGGTGAGTATTCGGGACAATGCAAGCGAATAAGGCGTTATACGTCGGTCCTAAATAAGAGTCAGATTCATATGCAGATATTCTGGTCTCCAAGATATTGAAACTACCCTACCCTCTTGTTGTGGCAACTGAGATAAGAAATTGGAGAGGCTTTGGAAACCTGCGGTAGGTTGGAGGAAACTAATCTGCTTATCTGTCCGACCGGTGAACGTTATACGAATGAAGTTGTTGAATGGTCGTGATGAGAAATCAAGTTCGTATGCCTCGAGCAAGGCGGAAAAATCCCTGGTTTGAGTCTCGAAAGTGCACATATACAGCTTCTTCATCAGGCCTTCCGCTAGCAAGGGGAAATATTCTTTTTCCTTGAGGTTTATTGGCACGGGCCAGTCAGTGCCTGCAAATAATAGATAAAACTCTTTCAGAGAGCAGAAGTTGACCAAGTGTGTGCTAAAAGACACAAGTGGTACATACTAGCAAGGTAAGTAGGCCTTTCAGAGAGCTGTTATTGCACTTCTGTAGGAAAACAAAGGAGCCATTGTTGTTCAAGCTAGATTCATTGTTGAGTAAGCTTGGGGTGTCGGGTTTGATCAATCGGTCATAGTTCAGGGTGATTGCCTTGCGGGCGAAGACTCGAAAGCATTCTGACGGAAACGCATTTCTTAAGACGGGTTAGTCTAATCCTTAACGATATACCGAGCACGAATTCGTACCTGGACTGTAGGATAGCGCTTAGCTACGTAGCCAGTAAAGTTAGTGTAAGTAAACGCTGCGGTCGAAGTCATTTGTCCCTACTGCTGCGACGGTGGCGACTCTGATAGAGTCGTTCTTGAGAGACATTTTGGCAATGCCGGCAAGCGAGCAACGGCTGTCCCAACCAAGCAACTTGCCTTAAAAAACGACAGGTTAGACGGCGACTCTACAAAACCCACTCCGATTGAGCTATTGACACGTCGACGATTTGTTCGAACGTTGGCAAAGGATGCTGGTTCGATTGACAATGCTTAGATACATGCAATGCTGCACCGGGGAGTTGGAAATGGCAGCTTGAGAATTTTCGACTTATTTTTATCCTAATATAATATGTATTGGGTAGGCAAGTCTTAACGTATCAAATTGGGAAGGTGCCGCTGCTGACTTGAAGAGCAATTGATAGTTGGTGAGAGAAGGTGCCAACTCGTTTTTGAAAGTCTCACTTTCTTGTATGGGCTATTTGCATTTCACATGTAGCAGGCCGTTATTGGCTATCGGGGGGTTTGCTAGCAGACGTTTGAATTACTTACTATTACGGAGTACAAGTGGCAAAGGCGGGGTGGGGTACACTCGTAATCTGTATATTACTCGCAAGATACGATACCTGTGAAGGTTAAAGGAGGCTATACGTAGCGGTCATATAACGTGATGCACTGTGAGGAGCAGGAGGCTGAATAGGGTCTAGTGTGGGCGAAAGAGTGTTGTGTACTAAGGAAGAAATAGATACATCGCGACCCTTCTGGGGATCCGTATTAATACTAGTGTCAGGCCCCGCTTTTGTGCCTTCTGACCAATTACAGGCCCGTACGGCCAAGTGGGGCGGAAGGGCCACAGTGTGGCGGATTCCAATGCTTGACAATACCATCAATCATTGAAGTGGCAATAGGCTTCTCGATTTTAAAAAAATGAAGAGAAGGACACACAACCACTCCGTAATCCATGTTAGGATGATGCTTTTTGTCGCAATCAAGACTTGGTGGCGTGGCACGTGAGGAGCCTAGCCATCGATTTGGCGCCTGGCGGTTAAGTGGTCCATGCTTATTCGGTCAAGGCAAGGAGCGATAAATTCATCACACGCATATTACTCCGTACTCTCTGTTATGTTCTCCCCGGCTAAACTAGGTTGACGAAAACTTGGACAAGACAAGGCGACACCGGCTTTCTCCTACCAAAAAATTATCTGCTTGTCATTTATACTTTCGCAACCTCGACTTTATCAACCTTTTCCCTCTTCTATTGAAGGTTTTTGAATCTGCTTTCTGTTCGTCTGTGTTTTGTGGCCACCGATCCCCTCTATTTTCTCTTCCTATCATTTCTCTTAGCAATGTTCTGCCCGCAGTTCATTCATCTCGCCTGATCACAACTGTGTAGCCTATTTGGGAGCAGTTCAGGACCGAAACATGTGAGGCATGTGCTTAGGAAACTGGTGAAAGAAACCTTACCCGACGTGAGTGGCTTTTCTGTTCTTCGGTCCGCATAACCAACGCGTCTGGGACACGCCATTCCTATCCGTATCCTGCCAGTATGTTTTCTGATCTTTGATGGCAGTAGCAAGGAAGCGAACGCGGTTTTCCTATAAACCAACCTTCTCCAAATCCAAAGGCTGCCTACATTTGAACCCCCCCTATCATCCAACAACCATCAACCTGCCTTTTTGTCTCGCAACCCTTGCTGCTATTTTCACACAATGAGCACGCCACCACCCGCGCAAAAGACTACGGAGGTCTCTCGGCCACGATCTAGTCAGCTTGTTTCCGTCAGCTGGGATGAAGCACCGGATACTGTGCCTTCTCGAGGGTCACGGTTACAATTCGAGGTAGCAGAGTGTGTCGAGACGAAGACAGTCACAACTACCACAACAACAAAGCGATCATATCCCCCGCTCTATGTCCGCGAGCCCCGATCTCTGCAGTTTCGTGACATGAAAGAATATCCTCTCGCTACGAAACCAACGCCTCCGGAGCTTTCGAAGTTCACAATTGATCTTGACCGTTTCCCCGGCGCCGAAGCATGGTCGTCCTTTGATGAAATTCCCAAGTCCCACTCCTTCGATTATAGCCAGGATGATCCGCAGCTGATAGAAGCGCACTCACAAGCCGGACAAACTAAAAGTGATCAAGACGCAACCAAAGTGGACTCTAGTTCTGATACGTCAGTTCGTGATGAGTCCCCTAGACGCTCAGCAAAAACCCCGAATGAGGGTATCAGCCGAAGATCTACCCGTTCCAACTCGGTGGCTTTGTCGCCAAAAACCACTACGAAAAAATCTCTTTTGACCTCAAGCCTACCTGCTTTTCCAGAATCGCCCCGCCGTTTGGGGCCAACAATCTATGGGCGCAAGGAGAGCAGGAACAAAGAAGCAGAGCGGTCTACCAGAGGCACGCTATCCTCATTTCCTGCCACACCAGACAACTCAGGCACAATGGCAAGCGATGTTGATCGTATCTCTAGGCTTCGTCCGCTCCGATTAGGCAGACCCAACGACGGAGGGGACTTGGTTATTAGTCAACCCGTTTCTGCCTATGACACAGGCAGCCCGACCGGTAGCGACTCACATACAGTCTTCAGCAATACCGTGGCCACACCGCCGATTATGGATGCAGATGCCGAGCCATTTACTGATGCCGATGAGTCTCTCCAGCAGACAGTGAGGGCCATGCACCCCAGGATACTTAGCAATGTGGGTGTTCTTGACGCTAGCCTACCAAGCCCGCGTCTTTCGCCCACACTGTCCGCGGTTCACCCGCCATCAAACTCACAGGATGACGATCATGATGAACTCGAAGATGTGGCATTCTCACAGCAGTTGATTCGCCATGATTTGCCATGGCCACATGAGTCGCAGGCCACCGAAGATGCTGATACAACTCAGCTGACGGCAGCAGAAGACGCATACACGCAGCAGAGCCCAGTCTCCCGAGTGGCTCAAGCAAAGCCAAGTTTCCTCGAGACTCGATCCATGCTGGAGAAATTTGACACTATGCCGAACGAGATGAAGACGTTCATGATGTACCAGTTTCTACGAAGATGTACGAGGAAAACCCTCCACATGGTTGCGGACGTCGTAAATCCGGCTCTCAAATGCGATTTTTTTAGGCGACTCCCAGTCGAGCTGAGTCTTCACGTTCTATCGTATTTGGGTTATCGCGACCTTTGTCGTGCTGCCCAAGTATCGAAACACTGGCGAAATGTCATCGACACAAATGAGACTGGATGGAAGGAAATTTTCGACCGAGATGGTTTTGAATTGTCTCTGGGAGAATTACAAAGGGCGATCGCCCAAGGATGGGGATGGCAGGACCCAGTGGGACCAGAAGGTTGCGAAGCAGATTTGAGTCAGCGCAACCGAATGATATCAACTGACAACGAACTTATCCGGGCATCAAAAACAGACACACCTCACCGGGTTAGAAATTCAAAACGAAAACGGGCAATTGCCTCCTTGCCTAGCGCTGAGCGATCAAAACGCCGAGCTAGTGCGCAGGAGGCTGCAAGAGACGAGAAGTTCCACCCTTGGCCACAGTTACACAAGTCCGAAGGACCAATATCGGCTGCAAGTGCTGCTGCGGCTGCTGTTCCGGATCCACAAATCGGCATTCCGAGTTTAAGGAAACTTCACCTTTTCAAGTCACTCTATCGCCGCCATCACATGATCCGGCAAAACTGGACCAGTGGGAAAGTCAAACCCGGCCATGTTGCCTTTACTGCACATCCCAGACATGTTATCACGTGCTTGCAATTTGACGATGACAAGATTATCACGGGTAGTGATGACACGCTCATCAACGTATACGATACCAAAACTGGAAAGCTGCTCAAAAAGCTAGAGGGACACGAAGGAGGCGTCTGGGCTCTTCAGTATGAGGGCAATATTCTCGTATCTGGCAGTACCGATCGCTCTGTTCGTGTCTGGGATATCGAGAAGGGACTCTGTACTCAGGTTTTTTATGGACATACGTCAACAGTCCGCTGCCTTCAGATCTTGATGCCAAGCGACACCGGCAGGATTGAAGACGGTAACCCTGTTTTGATGCCCCCAAAACCCTTGATTATCACAGGATCTCGCGACAATCAACTTCGCGTCTGGAGATTGCCCGAACCAGGATCAAGACGATATATACAGACTGGCCCTCCTGCAAATGACTCAGAATGTCCTTATTTTATCCGAATTCTTGCGGGACACACCAGCTCTGTTCGGTCTATTGCGGCTCATGGCGACATTCTTGTTTCAGGCAGCTATGATAGCACTGTCCGAGTGTGGAGGATAAGCACGGGAGAAGCCCTTCATGTCCTACATGGGCATAGCCAGCGGGTATACAGCGTCGTTCTTGACGTCAAGCGTAACCGCTGCATTTCAGGCTCCATGGATTCATATGTCAAGATATGGGATCTAGACACTGGCTCCTGTTTACATACGCTAGAAGGGCATTCCCTCTTGGTAGGCCTTCTGGACCTGCGCGACGAGAAACTTGTTTCGGCGGCTGCAGATAGTACTTTGCGAGTATGGGACCCTGAGTCGGGTAGATGCAAAAGCACACTTACAGCACACACGGGCGCCATTACTTGCTTTCAGCATGACTGTCGCAAGGTCATTTCTGGCAGTGAGAAAACTGTCAAAATGTGGGATATTCAAACCGGCGAATGCATCCAAGATCTATTGACAGACCTCGGTGGTGTTTGGCAGGTCAAATTTGACGAAAGACGCTGTGTGGCAGCTGTTCAACGTGATAATCTCACATATGTCGAGGTAATTTCTTGGTCCCCGCTGCACTTTTGCTATTTCGCCTGTCAATTGCTTTACGATAATGGTAGTTTGTCTAACTGTGTACAATACAGATTCTCGACTTTGGTGCTGTGCGCGATGGAAAGCCTCCTGAAGAGTTGGGAAAGCGTATACTTTTGAACGCACGAGATGTTCAGTCCCTTATCGATGAAGAGATATGAGCTTTATGGTCGGTACCCCGTTAGCAGAGTGCGCCGACATCGACGAAGTCGGATCGGCGAGGACACCCCATTCAGTCCGTCCTTCTAAGCACATTCGTTTCACTGATCATGTCTCATTTGTTTATTTACTTGCCCGGCTTTTCTTCTTTGGGGGTTTGTTTTCTCTTCTGAAGACACCCACCCGGAAAGGCGCGCACTAAAGTAAATGGACGGCGACATAATTGACGCATTCTCCACTGCTTTTTGTTAGTTTTGAAATTCTTTATTAATCGACGAGGCATAGAGTGCATTTTTAGGCGTCTGTTTTTTCTTCTTCTTTTTTCTTTCTTTTTTGTTCACTTGGCGTCATTTTCAATACAGGCACGATTCTTGCAATGCTTTCTATCCCAAGTGCTCCCGATGCTACTGCGTTTTGATTTAATGGTTCTTTAGCTAAAGCTCAACTATAGATGGCTAAATGTCGGGTACATAACTCTGTAAGTATTGTCCGGTGTTTTCGAGGCGTTCAATCGACTCCATTGTTAGTTGAAACCGACGCCGGTCTTCTTTCAGTCCGTTTCGTCTATCGCTTGTCGTTTTGTCTTCCTCCATAAGATCGCAAAAGGATTGGGAGGCTGTATTGGGATAGTTAGCAGTTGTATTAAAGTTCGGGAAACGTGATAAACAGGGTGGAAAATTTCTTACTCATGCCGTCAAAAACCCCCAACTGGCTGTCGATATGCCACTTAGAAAGTGACTCGGTAACATCGGGGATAAGGCCAGAGATGATGTTCAGTGTGCAAGTGTCAACAAAGCGTGTGCTCGCTGTTAGGTAATAGCCGCGCACATAGGCACATACACTCAGCTCTGCCTTGAACGGGTCTGGGCCGAGTTTTGTAGCTTCTTGATTCATGCGGACGTCTTCACGAGCTCGTTCTTCTTCCGCCATCAGCTCCCATGGCCGAGGTGGTGATCGGTCAGATGCTTTGTCTCCAAGGTACGCAACCATCCGATAGTAGTGTCGGTGTCGTGCCAAAATTTTGGCCTCGGCGTGCTCGTGTCTAGCGAGGCTATCTTTGTCTAACGTGTAAAATTTTCGGGTCTCGAGCGCATAGTTTTTCAACAACACGTCCTTCACGGAATGAAATTGGTCAACAATATACTTCTTCAAAATTGAAGCTGCCTTCTTGAAGACAAGCCGTTCCCGCAAGTTACTGAAAGCCTCGCATAGTAGTTGATGGAGCGTATTGTCCAGAAGGCGATACGTCCTATCCAAAAGCTGTTGAAGAGGGCCCCTCCATGGTCTCACAGCTTCCATGCAAAGCGAGTTGTACACATCTTCGGTGACAATTCCTGGCATCCCTGGCTTGCTCCTAGAAGCGATCACCGCTCGCACCTCCTGAAGCGATCTGGATTTAGCGCGGAGTTTGGAAGTAGAGCTGCATTCTGACGGTATCTCTGCTTTCACCGGGCCCTCTCCCCGTTGTCGTTTACTTGGTGTGCTGGGACCATGAGGATCCGGACCCTCTAGGTATTCATCTAACCGACGGCGTCTTGTGTCGTGCGACAGTCTTGGAGATAGTGTTGAGCTTATTGAGTCGTCGACATGTGTTAAGTCGATCCGGCCGTTTGTATCGAGTCTATTTAGTGGCGAGATTTCGGTCTTGACGATGTATCGCGGTTTGAGATCTAATATCTCATGTCGAAATTGCTGGACGACGTCCCCCCACAACGGCGACAATGATGCACCTTCCAAAGTTGTTTTTATGCGGCTGGCAAAATCTGCAAGACTGCGGCGCACCTCCAGCTCTGGATTTTCTGGTATATCGGGGAGCTTGGCCAGTTCGCGGTTTACATCCAGTAGCTTTGAAGTCACCTTTTCCTTGATCTGAGGTAAACTAATAGGCAAACAGTCAGAAACAAGCTTGTACAAGGTACATCTTCTTGGTAGTAGCCGGAATATGGCAGGACGCAGCCTATGTTGTTCATAAACCCACCACTTTGCAAATTCGGCACCGAGTTGCTGAGACATGAAAGCGACGAGGCGGCTGACGCCACATCTGTCCTCAAACTCCTTGAAGCATTCGCGCCACTCTTGATTCGCCAGCCCAGGGAGCTGCTTGTTGAAAAAAGCCTCTTCGTACGCACCCTGGCGTTCTAGATCGTCAGCAGGTCGGGAAGGGTCTCGTTGTGGTACCATATCGTCAGGAATTAGATTTTGCGTGACTACCGGGCGCGCGGTCATGAAATATCCATGCCCAATGCGATGCTGCTCGCCACGGAGCATTGACGTCCACTGTGACGGCGCACTTGGACCGGGAGGAAGTAGGTCGGCTTTTGTCATGATACCAATTGTCCGGGATTGGGCATTCTGTGCTCGTATAATAGAAAAGGTGGAAGACGTTTCCGGGTCGGCGTTCATTGGAACCGCCCAAAGAATGATTGCTTGTTGGTGAGAAATGTATTTTGCCGTCAAGTTTTCCACGACTTTTACCAAGTACTGATCTTCGTCTTGTTTCGCACTTGTAAATACCCCTGGAAGATCATAGAAGCTCAGATCTGCCAGACCAGGAGCCAAAATATCGAGTGCAACTGTGTTGGGACTAAAGGCAGCTTCGTTTTGAATTGACTCGAGATCAAGTCCCTGGCAGCGTTTCCAAATCTCGCCAATCCCAGGTTTGTACAGACTGTGGTCTCTGCTAGGATTCAAGGTAGCTCTCTGGGCCCATCGAAGAGTTTCTTCAATCCGAGTTGGATCACCCAACGTGGCAAACTCTTTGATGTCTCTGCGCTGCTCAAACCACGGCCCAAACGGGCTGGCACGTGTGACGTTAGCAGGCGGGCGATATTCGTAGTCCTGTTGTAGCGATATTCGGCACGACCAAGACCCGCCATGTGAGCCAGAAAGCCGAATGTGGACCGGGCACCTGGTACAAGCTCCCTCACTGCGTGGCAGATAGATGCCGGAAAAACTAGACATTAGACTGGATTTCCCAGCCGACTGGTCTCCAACCAAAACCAGCTCTGGAAGACTGGTAACATGTTGGATTCCCAGCGCCTGAAGCTCACCAAGGGTGTCGTTAAGTTCCTTCACCTTATCACCAATGGCAGTGAAGCCGTGAGAGACAAAGCTGACGTTTGCCGCTACCGTATTCTGAAGGCGATCAAGCATGTTCTCCGCGGCCTGCGACTTGATTTGCCTAACCTCCATAAGGACAGGCTCATCATCGTCATCGCCGTTCAGTATGTTTTGGTCACTGCTCGCTCGGACAGTGTGTAACGCAGACCTAGTTTCCACGCTTGCTGTTCTCTGCGTTAGATACAACAGTCTTCTGGGGGTTCTTAGGATACTTACGGGCACCAGAGCGGGAGAACCGGCCTCCGGGCTCAGGCAAACTGCTGGAAGCGACAGCCCCTTGTAGTATAAGCCCCCCATCGTTGCTTCTATGAGAATAACTTATGCTTGTCATAAGTGGGGCTACAGGCTCTGACTTGACTATGAGACCAGCCATCGTTCATGGAGTTAGCTTTCTCAGCACTGTGTTGCGGCCACTAAGACCGACTATTGAGCTCCAACTGTACGTCGAAGCCGACCGAAAGCTTGCCAAAAGCTAATGCAATGGGCTACTGTGCTGGGTTCGGCGAAAGACAAAGAGACAAGATGCGATGCTTTAGAAGAAGATGGTCAAAAGACGTAGGGACGATATTAAGGTGAAGATAAAAGGGGAGTAAAGAAGGGAATCCAGAGCGGGCCAAACAAAGCAAGCAGTATTCTCCGTCTGAGCTCGGTGTTTCAATAAGGAATGTTAGATCTGGCTAGTAATTATGGGTGACTTGGTAACAGTATGCAACTAAGAGCCGAGACAGCGTAGAGTCTCGCTCGGGCTTGACGGTCCCCGGCAGAACCAATTGTCCGAGTTGCCTAGCACGGGGCGTGCAATAAGAATGCGATTGGCGGGGCACCCACATAAATGTGTTGCGAATGGGGCCAGCTTGCCAACTGTTATTGAGTTCATGCCACAATTTCCATCGTCATTTTCTTACTGTCTTCTATTTGTCTTCGCAGAATCATGTCGCTTCAAATTCCGCACCGCGAGAGGCACGTTAATGGCATTAGCGCTGTTACGAAAGCAGTTATTCTTGTAGGTTCAGTTGTGTTGCAGCATGGTCGAAGTGCCTACTGTCATCAAAACTGGGAAAACTGCTAACAATGGTGCTGTAGGTAGGCGGCTCTTCTCGTGGTACTCGTTTCCGCCCGCTTTCTCTAGATGTCCCCAAAGTAAGAGATTCTGCTTGTTTCCGATACACCCACATTGCACGCTTTCGACATAGTCTGGTTGTACTGTCCAGCTAATGTATCTACAGCCTCTATTTGATGTAGCCGGACACCCGATTATCTGGCACTGCCTGACGGCTATCGAAAAAGTGCCTTCAATTCACGAAGTGTACCTGATCGGCTACTATGACGAGTCGGTGTTTCGCGACTTCATCAAGGATGCTTCGACTAGTTTCCCTCACCTCTCCATCAAATATCTGCGCGAATACCAGGCCCTCGGAACCGCTGGTGGCCTGTACCATTTCCGGGACGCCATACTCAAAGGCCGACCGGAGCGGCTCTTTGTTTTGAACTCGGACGTTTGCTGCTCATTTCCCTTGAACGAAATGCTAAAGATGTTCGTTGAAAAGGATGCAGAGGCGGTCATTCTCGGCACTCGGGTTAGCGAAGACGCGGCCTCCAACTTTGGCTGCATCGTGTCCGACAACCACACGCGTCGTGTACTACACTATGTTGAAAAACCCGAAAGCCACATTTCGAATTTGATCAACTGTGGCGTCTACCTCTTCAGCACCGACGCTATATTTCCTTCTATTCGCAGTGCTATCAAGCGGCGCAGAGATCGCCCTGCTCGCCTTGTGTCGTATCCGTCATCTGAGAATCTGGAGAGCAGTTTCATTGAATACGATGATGACGAGTCTGAGACGACTGAAGTCATTCGTCTCGAACAGGACATTCTTTCAGATATGGCTGATAGCAAACAGTTTTTTGTCTACGAGACGAAAGACTTTTGGCGCCAAATCAAAACAGCAGGTTCTGCCGTGCCTGCTAATGCCCTCTACCTCCAAAAGGCATGGCAGAGCGGTTCAAAGGAGCTAGCTGAGCACAGTGAGAACATTATCCCTCCTGTTTTTATTCACCCTACCGCACACGTTGACCCCACTGCGAAACTCGGTCCCAACGTCTCTATTGGGCCTCGTGTAACCGTGGGTGCAGGCGCCCGCATTAAAGAGTCTGTTGTTTTGGAGGATTCCGAGATTAAGCACGATGCTTGTGTGCTGTATTCCATAATTGGCTGGAACAGCCGTGTTGGTGCCTGGGCGCGGGTTGAGGGAACACCTACGCCCGTGACAAGCCATAGTACCAGCATCATCAAGAACGGCGTCAAGGTTCAGTCCATCACTATACTCGGCAAAGAGTGCGGAGTTGGTGATGAGGTCCGCGTGCAAAACTGCGTGTGTCTACCGTTCAAAGAGCTCAAGAGAGTAAGTCGCGGCCGATCCCATCTGCCTTTCGACGACACAAAGAAGCAAATCTTCCAATTGCTAACTTTTTCAGGATGTCACGAACGAGATCATTATGTAAACAGGGCGCTGTAACCAATGGAAATATCTTGAGTGGCACGCAGAAAGAAGGTATCATATATGTGGGAGCGCAACTAGCGTGCTTTCTGATGGATGTCGTATCAAGCGCGTGATCTGACCTTCAGGGTTCGCTAGACAGCCGAATAAAGTACGGAGTCCAAAGTACAAGGTGCTGTAATGCGTAATGTGTTGTCGCATCTACTCATATCTCAGGCTCAGTTTTCGGGCACCGAGTAGATGACAAAACCATTTGTGACGTGATTGACAATAAGACACGTACCATGCGCGACATGTGCTCGTGATGAGCTTGAAGTCCCTATTCACCTATAGAACCATGAAGAGGAGGCATCGTGCTCAAGACAGGCGAGAAGGTTAGGAAATGGCGCGTAACTTTGTCAGTGCAGACTCCAATGCCGACTGACACACTCCTTTCTGCAGGTCTATGGCGACGTTGTAGTCAGCTCAGACGGCGTCCGCTCTCAGGCACGACCGCGGGTGCTAGGCTACGAGGACAAGCCAAAGAGCTCAGACTGCTGCTGGATGTTAATACACCGTGACGAGCGCAACATCGAGGAGTCCTTATCGTTTCCCGACCGCCTTAAAGACGTATACATCGTTCTCGAGGGCTGGGTGCTTATGTTTCGGGTCATCGTGGAGAAGACGCCGGCTCTGGTCGACTAGAAGCTTGTCTGCTGAGACCTGTATCAATTTTCCGGGAGATGCCACCCATCCGTTCATGCCGACGAGTATACAACGCGTGGCACAGATGATGGAGGACGGGCAAAAGTGGCCGTGTGTCTACGACGGGCCGGGAAAAGAGCCGTGCCAGCGGCATGTGCGGACGCACTAAGACATCCAGTGAGAAAGAGCTCTATACATACACATAACATGCACGCTGACTAACTACTCGTCTTGCAGATATCACCGCGTTACAGTAGTACTAAAGACGGGTGAGGTGACGCGCGACATGTGGCACAAGACAGACTAGAAAAAATGTGAAGGAGAAATCCGACAGCAGTAGCATCTCTCGAGACGACTGGATCCATGCCTTTGACGTGGAGAAACGTGCAGAAAACGTGATCGAGCAGATGTTTCCCAGACATTTGGGGTCCTGCAGACGCCATGCCGAACAGCTGTGGCGTTGAGGCCACCGCAAACGGCGTCTACTGAGGCTTGCACTTGTCGAAAAATATACTGTTTTTGTCTCTAGGCTAATAAGAGGTCATCATGCAGAGACTCGCTAAGCATGGGGCCGAAATCAGTGCCGTCATCGTGCATAGAATACAAAGGGTCATTGAGATCAGCAAAACAGGCCTTCATGACACCCGACATCCTGTTCACGTAGTCAGTTGAGAATGCGTCCATATATCTCCCTTTCGTGGGGGCAACATACATTTCATCCTGTTGCTGTTGCTGGCCTATGTCGAGAAAGTAATTTTCCGGTGATTCCTTTTGGGGGCTGAAGCTGCGATCGTCATTCAGCAGGCCGTTCTCCTTGAGCTGGGCCATGACCTCAGTGAGCATATGATGTGTCCAGAAGACTTGCTCCATACTCTGCAAAGTGTGAAGGCACATGCGGACGTCATCGGCACGTGCGTTCTGGCCGCGGGCTAGGGCGAGCAAGAAGACTTGGAGTACCTCAATTAGGCAACTGCTATCCAGCGTGACCAGGCTACTAAGCAGGGCGGCATCTCGCATGAGGCCTATTACGGCCAGGGACTTCCTTGCAGCCTCGATGCAGGTAGTAGAAAACTCCTCGAAGGAGGCCCGCTTAGCAGGCGGAAGAGCAGCAAGGCCTATGGGATGGAAGGCACTGTACAATAGAAAGGGGCGGGTGGCAAAGATGGTGGCGCTCCAATAGCGCAGATGCAGAATAGACACGGAGCGCTGGTGGAAAGGAGCAGCTCTGGAGACGTCACATAGATGGGGCGGAATGGCAGCATACCATTCGGTCAGCACGGACAGCACATCGTTCACAGCCGATATGGACGGTCGACAATCGGAGAGCGGGGTGTGTGCCGTATACACGGCCGAGTCACATCCGTACAGGAGCCGGCCCAGGCGGCGTTTGATCTGGGCGAGCTCGCAGGAGACGGTGAGGTAGTGCAGCGGCATGTGCGAGCCCGGACTAAGGATCTGCAGGCGGGCGGTTAGCACGGGGGAGAGGGGGGAGAAGGAGTGGACGGGATATGGCCGGCATATCTTACTTGCTCGGAGAGGTCGTGCAACTTGCCGGCGGCATGGTCTTCGGTGATGGCGGGCGGGTTGCCGTAGCACAGGGCGACGTCGAGATCGAGGAGAAATAGGGTGGAGTACAGGCGCAGGTCAACCTGACGCTGCAAAAAGCCCTTGGGCTCGATGGTCTTCCGCAAATGCAGGCCCAAGGTGAGGGCGATTCGAGCAGCAGCGCCGATGTAAATGTAGGCGGTGTTGCTGAACAAGGAGCTTTGCAAAGCGAGGCCCTGGAGAAACGTCAGCGGATAGAGCCGGAATAGGCAGCAGGCGGCAGAAATGGCGCACGAGAAGACAGAGGGCACGAACGCTGTCGATGTCGGCCTCGTCGCAGAGTGCAGGCACGAGCATCTTAGCGAGCGATAGATATCGAGCGGCGGGCGGCGGTTCAGCAGCGGCAGCCTCCTCAGCGGCCTCAGCAGCCTGAACAGCCTCGCTCTCACACGTCAGGGCCAAAACGGCGTACAGCGAGCAGAGGGTGGCGGGCGTCGCACTGGTAAGGTCACCAGCGTATAGACGATCGAGGACGGCATAGAAGCGCTCGGCGGAGACAAACCAGTAGACGGACTGGATGTCGCGGAAGAAGCGGGAGACACAGCGGTCGCAGAGGTCACGGCGCGGCAGGAAGATCTGCACACGGCACAGGCTAGTGCGGACGTGTCGCTGCTGGCTGTGGATCTGGTTATGTTGCACCGAAAGGCCGGGGGAGACTCGCCCGGCAGATGAGTCGGGAAGCGACGGTGGTGGCAGCGGAGGCGCAGCGGTAAAGGGAGGGACGAGGTCGCTGCTGCAGGAAAATTCGGGCTCACGCCGCTGGCAAAGCGACCGCACTGCGGCGTGGAAGGTGTATCCGGAATCGGCACCGACGTAGCCTGCGTCCAGAAGTATTATCAGCAGGACGGCAGCCTCAGCAGCCTCGAGAGCTTCTGGTACGTACGGTATGTTCCCTTGGAGTCGATGCGTAGCCAACCCAGCTTGCCGTGCATCTCATCGATCTCCTTGATACTCACAGCACTCTCCTCGGCCTTGACAGGGCAGGGGTCGAAGAGTGGCGTGCGGTGATCGTCACTGAGGACCACGACCGAGTCGGACGAGGCCTCTGACACGGCCACAGACGGGCGGTTGGCCGGGTTGGCAGCATCGAGTGACTGGACGACCTCCCGGAGCGACTGCAGGCTGAGTTCGACATGAGGAAGGAAGTGCTCGAGCGCCTTGGTCATGTAGCGGAACTCCTCTTCAGAGACGTGGTAGTATGGCCTCTGCCGTCGCCGCGACGGATCCAAATGGCAGATTGCATCGATGCTGGCACAGAACTTGCAAGGTCCTGGGACTATCCGACCGTCAGCCCATGTATCTCTTCTCCCCCTCCGTCCTCCCAAGATAGCACGAACCTGGATCCACGCACTGCCAGTCAATGTATCAGTAGCTACCATGATAGCGACGCAGATTGGACGAGATTTACCTTGGTCTTCCGGCTCTTGCATCGGTCGCAGCTCATCGGTGCTCGCCTCTTGCTGCCCATCTTGCTGGACGCGTCCGTGGTAGAGCCCTGTGTTGACATCTTCAGTGGGCCTGGTGCAATGTTTATCGACAGGTTCAATTCGATATCAATGTCCAGGCATGCCACGGAAATCGTAATGCCGGCCTCTTGGAACAAAATCTGCTTTGCCTCTAGCCCCTCCCTGCCCAGCTCTTCGACCTGCACCCCGTTCCGCCTGCGAGGCCTGGCCGCCCATTGGCAACTGCCGACAAAGGGTATTTCGAATTGGATGCCAGCGTGCGGGGGAGCTGTCTACGACGTACAACTTGCCCCGCAGTCGTAAGACAGTATTAGCGTATTACTATCACTCCGTTTCTCGACTCAACGTCGTAGGAGAAAGTCGGCCTTTCTTTCTGCCATTCGGCAACGGCCTTCTAGGTGCGCCGGCTGTCTCCCCCCCTCCCTCGATATTGGTAAGGCCGCCACGGCTTCCGTTCGTTTCTTGGATGACAGCTGCTTATGGCAGGCTAAGCTAACTGATATCGTAATACAACCCTGCCAGCTCGGGTGTAACTCTGTGTTGTCTGGAAATATGCAGCCAGATAGTTTTAACACTTAGAGAACACATGCTTCATGGTTCTAAGCTGGGCCTCTCCCTCTCTTTCTTTACCTCCGATCGCTGAGTCACTGTACCAACCTGCGCATAAAAAGACACCCGTACGATCCTCTAAGCCAGCATATCAGTCCATTTTCGCCCTAAGCTCACAAGCTAAGCCCGGAAGGCCCCGATCCCACAACTAAAACAAGAGCTATAATCTACTGAGTACATAGCCAAAGGTGCCCCCCATCTGTGGATGATTCCGTAGTTACAAGAGAGTAGAGTAAGAGATGCAGCTATTCGAGATAGTAAAACTTTGCATGGGTGGGTCCCTTATTAACCAATCAGATGCACCCTCATGTTATATGGCTTGTGATTACGGAGTATCTTTCCACCGTACGCCACACCTGCCACCGCCTTTGCAGCGCTCGTACCTCCATTTATTAGCACAGTACGGAGGTCCCTCCCAAAAGAAAGGGCTCACCGCTTTTGGCAAAATAGGTAGGTGGGTATATTCTATTAACACTGTATTTACCACCAATCTATTAGCGCAGTCTTATGTGCTGGGAGCCCTGTAACTATATTAATAAGCGGAACACATTAGTGAGATAGTCTGCTAAACTTTAGCGAGCTATCGCTAATAGCTTTCTCCGTATATATAATAATAATCACTGTATACTGCCACCACTATGGAAAAGCGGTGGGCCCTTTCTTTTAGGAGGGACCTCTGTACAAGACGTGGAAGACAAGGTGTGAAGGTTAAAGGAGGCTATACGTGGCGGTCATATAACGTGATGCACTGTAAGGAGCAGGAGGCTAAATAGGGTCTAGTGTAGGCGAAGGAGTGTTGTGTACTAAGGAAGAAATAGATACATTGCGACCCTTCTAGGGATCCGTATTAATACTAGTGCCAGGCCCTGCTTTTGTGCCTTCTAACTAATTATAGGCCTGTACGGCTAAGTGGGGCGGAAGGGCTATAGTGTGGCGGATTCTAATGCTTAACACTCCTCTTAAATACGCTATATAGGCGTACTATAATGCACTAAAATTATTCTTAGTAGCCTTTTTATAGCTGCTAGCTTATTAAGCAAGGCAATAGCCTTTTAAATACTACCTTAGGTAGTACCTTTATTATAATATTAGTAATTTAATCTTTAAACTTTATATATTATACTATTAATAAGCTGCTTAGCATACTTTTATAAAAGTAGTACTACTTAATATTAAAGTGCTTTAAACATTTTTTAAATTTAAGCTTTTTTATAATGCTAATTATAAAGGTATTATTTATAAATATTTAAATATTAGCTTAAAGGCTTATTTTAAGTATAAATTACTTAATTTAGTAAGCTTATATTATTATATAGTAAGTAATGCTATATTTAGCTTTATAAGTAAAAATGCTAATAGTTAAAAGCTTTTTAACTTTTTAAAAGACTAGTTTTTTTTAAGATTTTAAAGATAAAGCTATATATAAAGTAATAATTAACTAGATTATTAGCTTAAGATATATTAACTTACTTTTAATATAAATATACTTTTTTAAAAAAGGCTTTTAATAGTAGTAGACTATAATATAGTCTTTCTTACTTTATAAGTAGTAAAGTAATTACTTAGCTAACTTAGTATATATCTTTTTAAGTAATTTTATTACTTTTAAGTGCTAGTATATAATAAAAAAGATATTAAGTTTTATTATTATATTAGTATAAATTAGCTTATTATTTATATACTAATATTAAAAGCTATCTATTAAAGGTATACTTAGGTAGGCTAGGTAAGTTAGGCAGGCAAGGAGGTATCTTCTTAATAGAAGAAAGCAGCCGTATAATCAATAGCTAATTCTTGCCTTCTACACTCTAAGGGAGTGCAGGAGGCGCTCTTTATCGTAGGCGCACCTCTGGCGCACCAAGTGCGCAGGACAGGCGCGACCCCGTTTCTACTTGGCCCGTGCGCTAGCACGTGCTGTGGCCTGTGCGCAGACTACGCTACGCAGCCTGCGCCATAAGCACCGCTTCTAGTTTACAATGTGCATCTAATACGCTGTGCGCATACTGCGTACGGCTTGCGCGTAGCCTGCGTCGGTCCTCTCCCTAGGGCAGCGTTACAATTGCTCCCCTCTTGTGCCTAACTCCCCTAAGGCAGGTCTTGACGAAAGGCTTGCAACCTTTGTTCCTAGTGGTAGTGGTGCTTGTCCGTTTGCGGCGGCCCCTTTATGCTTGCTAAGATCGCTGTTAAAGGCGACTTAAGGCGCCTTTAGTTCCCTTTATTTAAGAGGTTAGTCCTGTAGTTAAATTAGATTATTGTAGGGTCTAGCATCCGGTTACTTCTTTTAGAAACAACAAATTCGTCTTTTAGCAGCAATATAGCTGCTTCTAATTCTAACGTTCCTGTGCCCGCGGTAAGCGCCCCTAGCGCTCTAGTACCCGCTGCGGCCCTAGCCTCTGCTCCCTAACACCCTTTGCCCTTTAGCTAAGGTGCTAGTTCCGGCCGCGCGCAACGTGCGCGCGGGGCTTACGCTAGCATAGTTCGTTGTTTAGCGCGGACTGCGGCGCGCGCCGTGCCCCTGGTTAGGCCTCTAGTAGCCTGTTAAGGTGCGAGAGCTGCCCTTGCTAGTCCGGCGCTCCTAGGGTCGGTGGCGGCTGCGCTACTAGCTTACCCTTAGGTTGCCTTGGACGGCTTGTTGTGCGTGCGGTGCTTGCACCGCTTTCTAACGACTCTCTCTGCGGAGTTGCCTAGGTTTGCGGCCGTGCCGTGTATTTACAGCGTCGCTGGCGCTAGGCGCTGCGACGGCTGCCGTGCTAGTAAGCACGAGTGTTGCGGGGTAAGTTCTCTTTAGTGGCTATAGGCCGCTCTAGTAGCTAACAGAATGCAGGTTTTCCCGCTAATAGTTAGCAACTAGGCTAACTTTAAGATAGTGCTGCGCGGCCTTAATAAGAAGCTCTATAGCTAGGGTTCGCCCGTAGTGTGCGCGGCACTTACGCATGCTGTAGGTGCTTTTGTCGCTACTTTATTATAAGTAAATAAGCAGCAGTAGCCTACGTTGCTAAGGGTGTTGTTAGCTGCTAACGTTACGTAAGCGGAGCTTAATCTTTGCTAGGGCATTAAGGCCTAGAAGAAGGCTTAAGAGGTAGCCTACTAGGTAAAGGCTTAGCAAGCTTTATTAGCTTAAATGTATTTGTTGTTGCTATATACACTCTTTTTGTCTTTGCCGCCTAGGCTTACTACTTTAACCCTTTAGTAGCTCTCTTAGCTGCTACGCCTAATGCTTAGTAACACTAGTTATGCCGCCTTTACTATAGCCTTTAGTGCTTTTCTTAAGGCGGTAGTAAGAGCGTATGTTATAGACAAAGCTTATACTAGGGTAGCGGCCGGCGTAGCGTTGCTTTAAAGGCTTCTTAGATAGTTTTGCGTAGTCTTCTATAAGGCTTTTTAGCTAGTTAAATTAATTTAAGCTCTTGCCTATATATTTTTGTCTTTATGCGCTTACTACGCATATACTGCTTAATTGCTATATACGCATTTTCTATATCTTCTTTTAGCACTTACTAGTTATATTTAGTTAGCTAGCCTGTTTAACGTACTAGGTATTTAGTCTAGCTAGCCTTACGTCTCTTATCTAAGACTACTTTTACTTCTTATTTATTATCTAAGTTTTTTAATACTAGCATTGTTAAAGGCGCTTATTCTATGCTTACCTTACTCTTCTAATGCTTTAATAGCAAGACTAAGAAAACGTTATATAGTTAGCTATATTATTTTAGTAGTGCTAGTTAATATGCTTGTTTGCCTATAGTCCTAAAGATTCTAAAAGGCTTAATGCGTCTTAGTGCTAACTTTTTGTTTTTTAAGCAAAGGTTTTTTATAGAAAGGCTTACTAGCTCTCTTACTATAAAGCTTATAAGCTAGTAGCGCGCATTATAGTAACGCTTCTAGCGCTTTATTATATACTTTTAGTTTACTGCTAACCTTTTCTATATAGCTTCTAGTTTTTCTAAGCAATTATACACTACTAGGACTATGTTGCGCGTATTCTGCTCCTTTTTTATAGTTGTGCCGCCCTTAAGGCAAGTTTGTAGGTTCAGTTTTTAACTATATAGCGCTTTAAATAGGCTAATTTTAGTTATTGCGTTAATAGCGTTATTATAGGCGTATTGCGCTAAAGATAACAAAGAAGGCTAATTTAATTGCTTTTTTATTATAAAGTAGCGCAAGTACTACTCTAACGTTTAGTTAGATCTTTATATTTGCCTGTTTATCTAAGGGTAAAATGCGGTTAATAGCTGCTTATAGATTCTAGTTTAATAGCAATATTTACTTTAGAATTTGCTAGTAAATATACTTCTTTAGTTAAAGACTATATTCTCTAGTGTTATGCTATATACTAGTTCTATATGTTAGTGCATAAGGTGCGTAAGGCCTTTGGCTATTAAGGTAGTTTATATAGCAAAGAAAAAGTTTATTTTTATAAAGTAGTCGACAA